ATGTAAGTCCTCGCTGAGCCCGTACTCTCCAGACCACCCCTGCCCCCGCTCTCCAGAGTGGGCTGGCACGACCCATCACCCCAGTCAGCTGGAGGATCTGTGTCCAGGCTTTTAGACACCTACCTGACTCCAAATGCCACCACATGATGGCTTGGGCATGACTGCCCGTTGCCAAGGGCAGGGTGAGCACCCCAAAGCCTACCAGCTGGCAGAGCTGGGGTCAAATGGGAGGTGCCCCACACCACCATGGGCTGAACAGACGGCTCCCAGATGGGTGGACCAGTCCCACAAGTGCTGACCCAAGGCACACACTGCAGCACAGGCTGTCCCTGTAAAGCTTACGGGTCCAGCTGCACCCTTCCACCCCGGCCCAGCACCGCGTCTCTGCCAGCGCCCCACAAACTGCCTTTGGATGGCCATTCTTGTCTCACCACAGTTACACATTTACTCAGCCCCCCCAAAGGCAGCAAAATGGATCACTTTTCATACAGCAAAGTCTCAGCTCTTAAACTGCCGTTATTGTTCCACTTGAAGAACAAACCCATTGGCACCGACAGGCAATCCTCGCCTCTGGGTGACACAAGAGCTGAGGATACATTTCCTCAAGACAAAACTAAGGAAGTCCCAGTTGTGATTTTTGGCCACGTACAGCTTCAGACACGCACAGAAGACCTAGTCACCAGCCCTCCCGTTTGTGCACCGCTCTAGCCAAGAGCAGACCAGACACCTTTGTGACCAGGAGCTCCTGATCTCCTTGGGGACTCGTGTGTGCAGGTGTCAGTAGCACAAGGCGCCTCACCACACAAGCCAGCTGCGAGTCTGGAGCTACAGGAGAAACAGAGGGGGAAACACTGTGAAAACTGAGATGCTCTTCAAGGCAACACATGGCTCTTGACATGGCTTAGGTTTCTCTGCCCTTTGAAGCGTAGGTCTCCAGCAGCAGGGGAAGGTCCTGGGATGGCAGCTCATCCCCACTGCTGCCTGCAGGGCAGCTCAGGTGACACTGTGAGGTCCGAAGGACATCCCTGTGGCCCGGGCAGAGCTCGCCAGGGCAGCAGGAGCAGCCGGGGCAAACACACCTGAGCCCCTCCACCTGGGGACGGGCACCCCCCCAACGACCGCGGCATCGCCTTCCCCTGCGAGCTCAGACCCCTCTGGGCAGCATCTCCTCCAGACAACCCAAGGCACAGCCAGGTCGCTTTGCAGCACAGCGCCCTTCCCCGCTCCCTCCGGCGTGGAGGGAGGTTTGAGCCGCTCTCGTTTCCATCTCTGTGCAGGGGCCAAACATAACAGGCGCCGCCGCCTGTTTTTTGGGCTGCCTGGTCAGCAGGACTTCCTGCCCAGATATGGAGCTTCTCCTCGCAGCTCCGCTCCGGCTCCTCAAATATGCATAAAAGGAGATTTCTTTTTTAAAAAAAAATAGAGACACACATAAGACACAGCAAAAAACCCCCAAACCCAGTAAGAGAATGCAAAACAAATGGTCCAACTATCAGACTCCACCTGTAGCCAAGCCCATTTGGGAACATTGTTGTTAGAGGAGGAGAGACTAAAGTTTAAGATAAAGAGACTGAAGACATTTGTAAGCTTGTGTCAACAAACTGCTTGGAAGAAAAGCAAATTCTACTCACCATGACTAGATATACAATGCATTTCAAGATTTCTGTTTTGGCTTTTTTGTCTTATAGCATTCTTGCTATTAAAAGCGAGAAAGCAAGTCAGTGCGGAGGAAATTCTTAGGTAGTGAAATGATAGGAAATTGAGGCCATTCTACCCACAAAAACATCTCTCAACAATCTTGGGAATATGCCAGTAATACCACTATTTTACTGGCCAAAGGCAGGGCCATCCTAGACACTGGTAATTTCGCTCAATGGTTGGAAAATAGAAAGCCTATAATGACAAGTGACAAGGAAAAACCCAAACGTGCCTCCACCTTGGTTTAGAGTTTGAGGACTCCTTTGGAAAGGAACCCTGAGCTTCCAAGGCAGGGCCGGTGAGATGGACCCCTGGTTAGAAGTTATGAGCAGGTCAGAGTCCAGCTCCACCAGCCTGCTCCATCTGCAGCTCAATGGAGACTTCAGAAGGT